TTTTTTTTTTTTTTTAGTTAATTTGATGAGTGATGATACCAATTAAATTACATCTGATGTTAAGAAAAATACAAATTCTTGTGTGAGACTGTGTGACGTTAGATGGGTCGGTCCACCATACTTTATACATATATAAAAGTACATATTCTGTATTATAAAAAAAAATGCTTATGTTTAGGTTGTGTTTTAAAATATGTCACTTTACAATGAAAATACGTATATTTACGAAAATAAATTCTTGTATGAGACTGTTTAACTACGAAGCGGTTTGACCTATCATAATTCTTAACAAAAATGCATATTTATGTTGTGAATGTCACACTTTTGTTTATATTATTTTAAAGTATGATTAAAAAAATATAACTGTCTAACCATTAGGTTGACCGACATTAATAGTCATACTATTGTGAAAAGGGTATGATGGGCTTAAACCATCCTAACAAAAGAATTAGGCAAGAAAGTACCAGTTTTATTATGGAGCCATTGGATAACTCGACTTATGGAGTCATCCACACTTATTCACAAATAGTGTATTGACACGTGTCCTACAATAAATACACATTGAACATGTGTCAATACATTAAGTGGTGGACGGCTTGACAAGAAAACCATTCGATGGCTACATAGAATTTTTGAAGAAAGTATTTTTTTTACATCTAAGGTGGTACTTTTGGAACACAGGAACAATACAAAACAGTGTGAAACAGCCAAACGGATTAAAACGGGTTGACCGTGCGTAATAGTTTGTTTTTGACAAAAATGTATACTTATACTATAAAATTGTTTATATTGTTTATATTGAACCAACAGGGATTGGCTCAAGTGGTAAGCAGCTTGATGCCCTTTAAGCAACGTCACGAGTTCGAGTCCTTGTGGATGCAGAAAACCCTTGTTGGGAGACTCACCCACCACTGTCAGGTGTGCAACCCGGGTCGACCTGAATTAGTTAGGACATAGCTTCGAATATCGTGGCTAGCTACAAAAAAAAAAAAAAAATGTCATGGTGCTGTTATTTGGATATTTTTCAACATATTGGTAAAATAAATTAGAGATTTAATTACAGTCACGCTGACTTAAATGTTACTACTTCTATTCTACACCTTGAATAGTTGGTATCAAACATCCAGTAGCATTACCGCGTGCCCTGGCACACCTATGTAGGTGTGCCAAGGCATTTTTACACGCGCCTCCCTCACACCAAAAACAAGAAAATTTGGAGAGTGTAGCCACATTCCTATTTTTCATTTTTTAATTAAAAAATGACACATATTACATAAATTAAAATATTATTAATTATTTATATTAAAAAAATAAAATAAAAATACCAAAATTCATAACTTTTCATTATCTATAAATAGAGACCACATTTGATATGTTTTTGAACAAAACTAATTTTTCGTTTTTTCGAAATTATTTTATTATACTGACATATAATGAACATGTTACATAATAAAATGAATATGTTTTCAAATATGATGAACATGTTACATATTGAAGATTGAAATAATACATATTCATCTTATTTTATAACATGTTCACTTTATTGTGTATGTAACATGTTCATCTTATTCTATAACATGTTCATTTTATTATGTAACATGTTCATCTTATTCTATAACATGTTCATTTTATTACGTAACATGTTCACCTTATTGTGTATGTAACATGTTCATCTTATTTTATAACATGTTCATCTTATTATATAACATGTTCATTTTATTAGTAACACGCTCATCTTATTTTAGAACATGCTCATCTAAATTTCATCTGTCAAAATTTAACATTTTCATCTTATTCTATGACATGTTCATTTTACGCTATAACATGTTCATCTTAATATGTAACATATTCATCTAATTACAGATTTATGTCATGATCTTTCAATAAGATAAATTAATTGTAAAAAATGATAAATTAATTGTGTTCCAAAAAATATCAAATGTGGTCTCTATTTGTAGAGAATGAAAAATTATGAATTTTAGTATTTTTATTTTTATTTTTTGATACAAAATATGAATGATAATTTAATTTATAAAATAAGATATATGAATTTTATTGCCCAATAGAAATGGGACACACGTCTCATTTTTTTTAAAAAAAAATGTCTTACCTTTTTATCTCACGCGCTTTTGGGGAAAATGTATTTCACAAAAGGCCCTGGCACACCTTACACCCAAGTATTTGCGATCAAACATCAATGATGGTCCCAAATTTTATTCTTTCAATTTAGCCATAAATATTGACAATATTCTAGGTGTCCCACGCATTGTTGACCTTTTTATTTCGCCAGTAATGCTAAGGAGCCAACAGTTGGCTCCGTTATGAGCCAACAACCAATTGGACAATTTCATGTGGGGCTGTCCCACATTAAGGTATTGTGGAATAACCCCACCTAGAGTTGTCTCATTGGTTGTTGGCTCCGTAACGGAGCCAACTGTTGGGTCTTTAACATTATTGTTTATTTTGCACCCTACATTGGTAGTATTATTAATTATTAAAATTAAATGTTCTTTTTTAAAAAAAAAAAACTCACCTATGTCTAAAAAAGATTGGTCATTAATTAGAATCCATAAAACAATTAATTAAGGTGCATGCGATGCACTAATTATTGCCCTGCTTGTTAATCATTGCCTAAGTGCTGACAAAATTTAGGTTTAACAAAGGTGAGGCAATTAGGTTGGCTCCATTGAGACAAAGATTCCCTATATATTAATTCAGAACGCGCTGAGCCTACATGGCTGCTTCTGGTGCTTCGGAATCATATGTAGCAAAATTACATGCTTCGTTATTAGGCTTGGATAAATTTTAATTTAAATCCAAACCAAAAATAATTAGGTTCGGATTACCATAAATATGTTGAT